TGCCTCCCCCACTTGCTGCTCTTCCAGCCTCCTCCTGCACCTGTTGTCACCACTCCCTGACCCCTGTCACCAGGCAGAACGCAGGACTTTCCCCACTTGCCTCCTTTTTCCACCCACCGTGATCAGGACTCAGTGGGTCCTGTATCCTTCATTCCAAAAAATGTCGCCCTTCATGCCCTTCCTCCTGCCCTCCCTGCCCCATCCCCTCCCTCTATCCCCATGTCCTTTTCTGTCCTGGATATGGTGCCCATCCCCCCACAGCCCCTCCCCTCATGCTGTGCTCCTAACAACACCCAGGCCCAGAGAGAGTTTCCTGCACCCACAGCCCACCCTGCCGCTCCCTGCTCAGAGCCCCCCGAGCTCTCCCAGCACCCTAAGCTCACCATGTCCCAGTGTGTCCCCCTGGAAGATCCTGGATATACTTGCAGGTCCCCTCACCTGCCAGGCTGTCTCAGAGCCTTTCTCCTCTTCTCCACCCAGGATGCTCTGTGACAACTCCCCTCCTTCCACCCTCAGCTCAGCCTCTTTCCCTCCAGGGGCTTTCAGCTTTGTGGTCTCATGGACTGTTTATTCAAGAGTATGGGTCAAATAGTCAGGTGTCTTCTGTTTGTCTTTAATTTGAGGTAAGGGAGAGACAGGCCTCCCACTCAGCCTCCTGCTCCCTCTGCCCATCACACAGCCCTGAAGACCCTGAGCTCGTCCCCGCCTGTCAGGAGGGCCAGTCCCTGCTCCTGGTGAGTGTGGCTGACAGCAACCCTTGACACATTGAGCTGGTCCCAGGAGGGAAAAACCCTGAATCCTCCCCAGCTCTCAGTACCAGGTTCTGCAGCTGCCCCATGTAGAGGATGGAGAGGCAGGTGCTGGGGTGGGCAGCCTGGTTAGTGTTTAGGTTTTGTGAGGGGCTGAGGCCTGGGGACAGGTCCTCACCTCCTCTCCCTTCCCCAGGGGCTCCTCTGGCTGCAGAAGTGTGACTGGGAACCAGGAGGTCTATGGGCCGGGGTCCTCACCCTAATGGCGGGACCTTCATGGGGGCTGGTTTCCTCTTCCCCTGTGGCCTCACCTGGAGCTACTGCAGCAGGTGAACAGGCCTGCCTGTCTCCAGGGAAGCCCGGTAATTAGCTCCTGAGTTCCAGGTGGGGCTGAGCTGTTCTCACCCACCTGGAGCCAGAATTAAACTGACCAACTGTGACCTGAGATCCGTGTTGGCTGTGCAGGTGTGGGGACCCCAGGGGAGCTGGGCTGGGAGGCCTGACTCACCCCTCCTTTTCCAGACAGAACTGTGGTGTGGACGCCTGGCCAAGAAGGACAGATTTGAGGCATCACCGTCAGCTTTTCTCTTGAAACTGTCCACTCATGCCCCACTGACTGCCCTTTGTGTCCTGTCTGCCCCTGTCCCCATCTGTACACCTTCCACTCCCCTGCCTATCTCTGTTCCCTCCTGTTCCCTGTCTGGGCCCTCTGATGGGGGCACCAGACCTCAGTACTTTATGCTCCCTCCATTCAAAACTTAACTTGTGGCCAGGAGGGAAGACTAGAACATCTTGTCCTCCACATTTTATGGGTCAAAGCAGTCACGAGTGCAGTCCAGACTGAAAAAGAGGAGACAATAGTAATAATGAACTCCATCATGTAATGAAAGGGATACTTTCTTTGCACAGGGTGGACTGGCGTTGTTCGGGGCTTTATTTGGATACAAGTTCCTACAGCTGCTCGGGGGCCTGAGAGTCAGATGCCCCCTCTATCTGTTGAGGGGGATTGCCTCTCTCAGTCAAGGCTGTGGACAGCATGAAGTGGAAACATGTAGGGGCTGCACAAAGCCTTCCCCTTTTCTGCTGCTAGAGCATGACAACAGCCTGGCATTGTCCATAGGACATCGCTGAGGGGAGAGAGAAGGACAAGGCACAAAATCAGAGGTCTCTCCTTCTTCTGAGTGCCTCCTTCCAGGTGGACCTACACTCTCTCAGGGACATCTGACATGTTGATTCCAACCTAGGGCCACTGTTTTGTGATCAGCCCCTCCCCAGGCTGCAGACAACTTCAAAATCTTGGCTCAACTCTACATCAGCACCACGGACAGCAGCAGCTGCCAGGCTTAGGTTTTCCCAGAAGGAGAGTCTGTCCTGGGCAGAAGGACAGATACCTCCTATGGGCGGTGCCCTGTCCCCCTGGGACAGAGGTGTTGTTGGCCACACACAGAGTGCAGAACTTGGTAGCTGCCTTAGGGTCTCCGGGACAGTGGGAAGGTGAGAGGGATGGGAACACAACATGTAAGAGTCCAGGGATTAATGCGTTCCAGGACAGTCACATCCACAGTGACTGCCTGGGAGTCCCTACTGTGTCTTCTCTGCCCTTTCCTTCCTGAGAACTCACCCTCCACTCCAGAAGAGCAAGATCCCCCCATCAACAGTCTGTGCCTCCCCATCACAGCCACCCACCCTCTGACCTTGGAAATGTCAGGTGACTTGTCTGTCTCCAAAGCAGTTGTTGCTCTGATCAAAGGCAAGGACTGGGTCTGTGCTATTCACACCTTTCCCAGAAACATTGAGGCACAGCATTAATGCTTAGTGCCTGGCTGCTGAGTCAATGTATGAATTAATGAATGAAATTTCTTCCCTCATCATGTCCGAGAAACTTGAGAATTCTTCCCTGTCAAATTAACGCAAGCTTCCCCTCTCCCAGCCCCGTCACTCCTGGACAGACCAAATTTGACCAAGTGTCTCCTGAGCAGACAGTTGTACATGAGACAGGGCACCCATGTGATTTGTGCAATTCAGTGAGAACCTTAGTCCACTTAGGCTGCTATAAAAAATATCACAAAATGCATTCTTCCTTTAAAGTATACAAATTTATTTCTCACAGTTCTCCAGGCTGGGAAGTGTGAGATCAAGATGCCAGCAGGTTTGGTGTCTCAGGAGCACCTCCTTCTCTCTGTGTTCTCACGTGGAGAACGGTACAGACAAGCCCTCCTGGTCTCTTCTATAAGGGCACAAATCCCATTCATTAGGGCTCACTGTCATGATCCAATCACTTCCCGAAGTCCCCACCTTCTGAAACCATTGCCTTTGGAGTCAGGATTTCAACATATGGATCTGGGCAGGGCGGGTCACAGATATTCTGGTCATCGCACTTGTCAGTGGGGACCTCAGTGCCTTCTCTGCACATTGGGGACGTGGGGCCCGAGGGCCTCCCAGCCCTAGTGGGTCATAAGTGGATCATAAGTTCCTGTTTGGCACAGGGTTAGAGTCTCTGTGGTGTCCCTATGACTCATCTCCCTTTTCTCAATCTCTCATTTCAATTGCAAATTGGGGACTCTGGAAAACGGAGAAGCCACAGCACAGCCCTTCTGACCACTGCAGTGCTGCAGCTACCCTGATGGGAGAGAGAGAAGGACAGGACCTGGAGGGGAATGAGGCTGCAGGAGGTGACACCAACTGGAGATGCAGGAAATGGTGGTTGGGGCGGCTGTGCCTGCTCACACCCTGCAATGTCCCTCCTCAGTCACCACAGCCAAAGGACACCCCAGGGAATGGGCTGTAAGAGCACAGCAGGGGACAGGATAAGCCATGAGGCTGAGTGGATGAAAATGCTGTAATTTTCTACGTGTAGAAGGATTCAGGAAAACATTCTCAAGGCCACAGGATTCCAGGTAGCATGCTCAGATGTACAATTACATAAGAAAAAAACTGGGAGATAACTAGCATTACTGTGGGGCAGGACTCCTCCAGGAGGGAGTGGGGCTTGGACACAGCAGGGGGAAAAACGGGAGGTCCTAGGTGTTCATTTCTGTAAATCACTGAAAGTTTCATTTGTGGGCACTTTTGTCTATATGTCTTGTATTTCCCCTCAGGAAAAGTTTGAATAAAATCAACCCGGGTCAGTTTTTTCCTCTTTCACAACTTCCCCCACTTCCAGCCTCCACCCACAGTTTAAAATCATCTTGACTTGAATTCCAGTGCAAGTTTCTTCTCCCCCTTAACGCTGACTTCCCTGAGGGTGGGCAGCCCCAGGGCTGGTGTTCCTGGCTCCCTGTCTCCCCTTCCCGGGGACAGTCCCGGGAGCAGAACCTGCAGCAAAGCCCTGGTGGCCGGGGACCCGTCATGCTCTGGAGGAGCCAGAAGTGTGGCTGAGTGAGGTGACAGGGGTGACATAATCTGACCCTATGTCCAGAATGTGTTGACAAAAAGAGAAGTTTCTACCCTTGTAAAATCGTTCCCTTCCCTTTCTCACTTTCTCTCTTGTAAAATCGCACTGAACAACAATGGCAGCCTCAGGTTCTCAGGATTCCCGTGAGCCGGGCTCCCTTCTGGTCCCTTGTGGAATCCTCACCGTGACCCCCATGTGCCTGTGCTCAATCCTCCTGACGCTGCACCTCCAGCCCAGGGGGAGCCACCCCCACCCTGCCTCTGTGTCACCCTTAAACCTACTGTCACAGGGAGCGCAGAGGTCAGGAGATTCACTGTCTCCCCCTGGACGGTGACTCCATGAGGACAGGATCCGGGTCTGCTGTGCAGAGAGGGGACGGCCACGCGTGATTGCTGAGTTGGGGGGAGGCTGCTGCCACCCTGCCTGGTCCCTCCCCCCCAACACCATGTCCCTGAGCCCCACCCCTGACCCTCACAATCACCCATATCCTGTGATTCAAGGTCTGGCCAGTTGGCACCTATTGTCACCTTCAGGGGAAGATACACCAAAAGGAAGGGTGTTGTCAGGGAAGAAGGAGATACGTTTTGGCTCTTCATGGGGTGGAAACTTGGGTGAATCTAGCAGTTTCTAGGCACAGGATCCCTAGGAGTGGACTTGGGTGGTGACAGTTGATCTGCGAGTCCTGCCCTGGCCCTGACAGTGTCAGGCTGTGAAGTTCCTCTCTGAGGAGGGTCACAATTCTGACCTCGCCCTCGTCATCCTGTGGGGCCTCCTCTAAGTCCTGCAGCTCTCAGTTTCCGAGAGAAGAACCTGGAGGAGCAGACTGTCCCCGGCGGCCCTGGCACCTACACCCAGACATGCTGCTGCTGCTGGCCCTGCTCTGGGGGACGGTGGGGGTGGAGGGACAGGGAGGGGACAGGAGAGGTTACAGGCTGCAAGTGCAGAGTGTGGTGACAGTGCAGGAGGGCCTGTGTGTCCATGTGCCCTGCTGCTTCTCCTACCCCCAGGATGGCTGGACTGACTCTGACCCTGTTCATGGCTACTGGTTCTGGGAAGGGGCCGATACGCTCCATGGTGCTCCCGTGGCCACAAACAACCCAGCTAGGAAAGTGCAGGAGGAGACCCAGGGCCGATTCCTCCTCCTTGGGGATCTCAGGAGCAACAACTGCTCCCTGAGCATCAGAGATGCCACAAGGAGGGACCAGGGCTCATACTTTTTTTTGGTGGAGCGAGGAAGGTTGAAATGGAGCTATGTAGAATACAAGCTCTCTGTGCATGTGACGGGTAAGGCTCGCGCTCCAGGGATGCCCACTGGGGGAGGTGATGGGGGTCGCGGGGCAGGGCTGGGCTTGGACCCCATGCTGGGAGGGGCTGGGGGTGAAGTCTGTGGGGCTCATGGGAGGAGCTGGACCAGAGCCTGAGTCCTCTCAGGGCTGCACCTCGGACCCTCCTAACCCTGCGTGTCCCCCTCTTCTCTGCAGCCCTGATGCCCGACATCCTCCTCCCGGGGACCCTGGAGTGCGGCCGCCCCAGCAAGCTGACCTGCTCTGTGCCCTGGCCCTGCCAGCATCGGACACCCCTCATCTTCTCCTGGGTGGGGGCCTCTGTGTCGCTTCGGCAACACACCACTGGCTGTTCCTCGGTGCTCACAATCACCCCTCAGGCCCAGGACCACGACACCAGCCTCACCTGCCAGGTGACCTTGCCTGAGGATGGTGTGACAAGAACAAGGACCGTCCACCTCAACGTGTCCTGTGAGAGCTGGGCTGGGAAGCCTGGGGTCCTGCTGGGGTCCCCAGGGCAGCGGGATGGGGTCAGGACTGCACACGGGGTGCTGAGAAGTGGGGTCTGGGGGGAGGGACAGGAGGATGCTGGCTCCATGCACCACCCTGACGTGGCTCCTGGGGACAGAGACCAGCATCCACCCGGCCCTCAACAGTGACTTGGGGCTGCTGTGTCTCTCTGCCCCAGACTCTCCTCAGAACTTGACGGTGACTGTCCTCCCAGGAGACGGCTCAGGTAGGACGGGGCCCTCCCTGGGCTGTGGGAACAGGGTCTCTTCCATCAGGGCAGGTGTGTCTTCCTCACGCTGGACTCACCTGGTCACCTGAGACCTCCTTGCTGGTGACCCCATGAACTTCCCTCCCCTAAGACACCTGCACACCCCCTCAGCCCACAACAAGGCTGGGCGACACTCACAGCAGAAGTGGCCCCCAATAGTTCATGTACCTCTAGGTGGGTGATACGGTCTCATGGGCGACAATTCCAAGTGCACAGCAGGGTGAGTCCTCAGGGTCCCGTCCCCTCCCCAGAACCCACCAAGATCCCCCAGGCTGCTAGAGCCTTGGTCTGTTCACCTGCAGGACCTCAGAGGTGGTTTTACGTCAGTCTTGCAGACTGTCCCCGTGCTCCTGTGGGGCTGTGTGGTGTCTCCCTGCATGGGTGGACTCTGGTTTTGGACACACTTTATTTAAGTGAAACCTCAAGGCACTAATTTTATTCTATCAACAGAAATGCTGCCACGAATAATCTTGTACCTCCTTTCACAATGGCTTTGTGTCTGTCCAAATGCAAAAGAGCTGGGTCTAATATTGAGACACACCCTAAGTTCTTCTCCTTCCGGGATACAGGAGTTTAGATTTCCAGCAGGGAGGAGTGGATGTGCGAGTGTCACCCCAGCTTCACCACCCAGTGTGCTGGGACCTTTTGGTCTCTGCCAATAGCAGGTGACAGAATCTCCATGGAGCTTTAAGGAGCATTTCCTTTATTATGACTAAAGTTGTGCAACTTTTTCTATCACAAAAGACATCTGTATTTCTTTTATTCTGGGAACTGTCTGTTCATAGTCTTTGTTCAGATTTCCAGAGTGGCTTGATCTTCATTATTGATTCTTTGAAGTTCTTTTCAGTTTGAGAAGTCAGTATTTGTGCCTGAGATGTTTTGTAAATACATTTCCCAATATGCCAGGTGGCTTTGTCCTTGGATGTCTATGATTTTCACACCGTTCAGGGACCTATTTATCTTTTAGCTACATTTATCAATGCCATTGGTCCCCCACTCTGAGGTTATGAAAACAAATCTCCCTGATTTCCTCCTGTGTCCTGTCTCTGGACTCCACCCCCTGCTCCACCCTACCTCCAACCCCAGACCCCCAGGTCTATTCACATTTTCCTGAACTGGCTCAGGCCCTGTCATCTTTGTAGTGTCTGTTCCTGCTGCCTGGAACTCCCTTCCACCCCTCATCCTCTGGCCGCCTGCTGGTCCTTCACACCCCCCTCCAGGTGCCAAGTAGGTGTGCCTCCCCCAGGAAGCCCTCCTGGCCCACAGCATTTGGGTCTTCTCATTTACACTGTCCAGGGCTGGTGCAGCCTGAGTCCCCTCCACTACGAGTCATGTGACCTTGGGGGCAGCTGTTTCTAAGCCCCTGCTCCCCCCGGACTCTGAATTTCTGGAGTGAGCCCCACGTAGAGGCACAGCGATAACTCAGTGAACCGCTGTCACGGGAAGGGCTGGAGAGAGATCAAGACTCTTCGGGTGAACCTGGATTCTGAGCCGTCAGCGAGAGCATTGAAGAGGGCCTGGAACGTGGGCCTGAACTAACGTCATATCTGGGTGTCCTGTGAGCCCGAGCCCCTTCCTCTGTGACTTCTGGGGCCACAGTCCAGCCCAACAGGACCCATCTGTGCAGAGGAGAATCGACATCGCCCGGCACAGAGAAACTGGGGCTGGCGCCAGGCTCGGGGCTCGTGCTCCATCTCTCTCTGGGTCCATCTCACAGAGTCTGTTTCTCTCAGTCTACGTCCATATGTCTGAGTCTTTCACTCTTCCCGATCTCTTTCTACATTCCTCTTTCTCTCAACAGATTTGTCACTCTGACCCTCTGTCTCTTTCTCTATAGCACCCACTGTCCTGGAGAAAGGCTCATCTCTGTCAGTGCTGGAGGGCCAGTCCCTGCGCCTGGTCTGTGGTGTCAGCAGCAACCCCCCTGCCAGGCTGAGCTGGACCCGGGAAAGCCTGACCCTGTACCCCTCGCAGCCCTCGGGACCTCTTTCGCTGGAGCTGGCTCGAGTGCACCTCAGGGATGAAGGAGAATTCACCTGCCGAGCTCAGAACCCTCTGGGCTCCCAGCACGTTTCCCTGAGCCTCTCCCTGCAGACTGAGTACACAGGTGGGCGGGGGAGAAATATAGAAGAGCACACCTCCCCACCTTTGGTGTCCACCCAGCAATCCCTTAATCTAAAGGGAGGCTCAGCTGTGAGGCCTGGAACTTCCTTGTGACTCAGAGCATCACTGTCCTCTTCCTGTCTGGCAAGGGGCCTGGGGTGGGGCGAGGGGCGGAGGTGGACCTTGGAGGTGAGGGGCTGGGGCTGGACAGGGTGTTTGGGGAGACAAGGACCTTGCTCTGCAGGGCTGGGACTAGGGTGAGACACATCAGGAACTCTACTTGGGCTCAAAATTTCAGAAGACATAAGGACAAACCAGTCAGCAATCAAAGGAAGTAATATTGCTAGGTAATGATTTTTTTAAAACAGTAAGTTGAACACAAAGAAATCAATGATGAACAAAATTTCAAAATCTTAAATAAAGAAAGGCTGCAGCAGCACTTCCATGTGTCAATGGTCCCACCAGCAGCCTCCCCCCTCCTTCCTCCCATCCAGGTTCTTTGCTCTGAGATGGGGGAGGGGAGTAGGAGCCCAGGGCCCTACAGGCTGGGAGGAGGAGAGACCCAGCACTTGCAGGTGAGTCACCAGAGTTGCTCTCCTGCATCTGCAGGCACAGTGCGTTCTGTCTCGGGGGTGACTCTGGGGGTTATCTCGGCAGCTGGAGTCAAAGCCCTGGTCTTCCTGTCCTTGTGTGTCATCTTCATCTTGTAAGCACTGACCCTGGGGGGAGGGCAGGCAGGTGCAGAGTCCCTGCTGTCAGAGCTGGAGGGAGCTGGGTGGATCGGGAGCGGGAAGCAAGGGCAGGGAGGGGGTCAGGGGTGCACAGTGAGAATTGCACCGGCTCCCTTGTGTTGGGGTCTCCTAGTCTATGGCAAACCTGGGACCCCCCATCAAGGAGAGAGGTGCCTGTGTTCTCAGTATTGGCATCTGTGTGACTGGAAACCTCTGTCCCACCACGGTCACCCCTCTAGTCCCTTACTAGGAAACAAAGTGGGTCACCCTGCCCACTGTGCCCTCCTCTGCCCAGACTGAGGCTTTCTGGTCTGTCCTCTCAGCACGAGGTCCCGCAGGAGGAAGGCGGCAAGAGCAGCAGCGGGCATGGGGGACACGGGTGTGGAGGAGGCAGACGCTGTCGGGTCCCAGGATATCGGGTGAGTGACATGGGCGTCTCCACATCCAGCTTCCTGCCTGTACACCTCCCACAGGATGGCCTCCAGGATTGCTCAACTGGGCATGGCCAAAGTTGCTTCCTCATCTCCTCCTCCATAAAAGCTGCCGCCCCTGCAGCATTCCCCATGGCGCCCACAGCACAGAAGCCCCTCCCTTCTGCTTCCGCTACGGACAGACACACCAGAAGCCTTACCTCCTGTATGTCCTTGCTTTCTTCCCCTATGGCCAAAACTTCACCATGTCTTGCCCATTTTTCCCCTAAGAACAGCCAGCATTGGTCCCCTCCCTCATCCTGACCCCTCTCATTGCTGAGGCCTCAGGTTCTCTTCTTGGACTCCCTCACTTCTCTGCCTCTCACCTCCCCTTCCGTGTCTGGAGGGATTGTCCAAAAGCCATCACTGCCCTGCCCCCTTCATTTATACAGCTGCTCCCCCACCCCCAACTCTGTTAGAACAGAGGCCAGGAAACCTTTTCTGTAAGGGCCAGATGGTTAAGGTGTTTGGTTCTGTGTGTTATACAGTCTCTGCTGCAGCTACTCCACTCTGCTGTTGTAGTATGAAAGCCGCCATAGACCGTGTGTAAATGATGAGTTTAGCTGTGTTGCAATAAAACTTTATTTACAAAGGCAGGCAGTGGGAGAGATTTGATCCAAGGGCTGTAGTTTGCCCACCCCTGATCAAGGGAATAAATTCCTAGCTCCTCAGCCTGCAGCCCTGCCATCCTGGCCTCTTAGGTACCTACATGTCCCCTAGGGATGGAATTACCCAGAGGTGAGTGAGACTCCTGATTTGGATGCATAATTATGGGTTTCCCAAATCTCAGTAATTAAGACAATTTACGGAAGTTTTTAACAGGTAGAAATCAATGAAACAATTCATCATGAGTAAAATATCAAAATTTTAAATAGTGCAGGTCCAGTAAACTGAGTTAATTAAAATTATGTAAGATCATCACTTAATCAAGAGACATTCTCATACAGGTTAGTATTCTCATTTGAGAATTAGGGAAGCAAAATACATTTTGAAAATATTGTCTCTTTTTTGCTTCTATTAGAGGTAGGCTCCAATTTGCTCAGGAAAGGATACTCGCTAATCTGGGTTTATTTAAATATTTATTCTCCATGGATATTTAGCATACATTATTTTTTAAATCATTGCATTGAAATATTCTTCACCTCAATTGCTGAGATCTTTGGCTGCATTTTCATTTTGGACTCTGGCGAGTACCACGCTTCTTCACCTTGGCCCAGCCCTGACCTCCAGCCACTTCCTGCCTCTTGCTCTGAGTTCCACCCACGCTGGGTTTTTCAACGTTGTCACCCACAACAAGATGATTTGCACCTCTGCATCTTTGCATGGGCTGTTCCTCCATCCTCAAAGGCTCTTCCCTCCTCATTTCACTTCCTATAGAAGATTCTGAGCAACAGAGTGAAACACGTCCTTTCATTCTTTAATTTAGTCTGAAAAACTATTGGGTACCTACCAAGAGACAAACTCTGTATGTGCCAGGGGCCCATCCATGAAAAGCATTTAAACATCGTGGGCTCAGTGAAGTCTTCTTTTAGAGAGAGGGATATACCCAAAACAATCACTAACCAACTACGCAAACCACAAATAAATGAAGAAAATGTGAAAAATAGGCACATAGTTTGGGAAAAATCCACGTTACAGAAACTAGAAGGTGACGAGGAGATGGAGATGGACTGTGGTGTATTTTGTTATGTATGATCTGCATGTCATCTATCTGGCCATCTACATATCTACGCGTCTACTGTCTCTCTGTCTCTCTAACACATTATCTTTCTATCTCTCCAATCTTCCACCCATTCATGCATGTATCTGTCTGTCTTGATTAAAAAAGAAAGCACAAACACAAAGTTGAACATATTAATCATTTTTAAGTGTACAGCTGTACAACAGATTCTAGAATATTTCACCTTGCACAACTGAAACCGTATATCTACTGATTATAATAATAGCTTCCCACTTCCCCGACCAGGCCCTCCTCTTCCCAGTGAGACCCTGGTGACCACCATGCTACTTTGTGTTCCTGGAATCTGATGTCTATATATCTCCTATAAGTGGAGTCGTACGGTCTTCTTGTGACTGGTTTATTTACTTAACATACATCTTCAAGACTCATCCATGTTGTAGGACATGATAGCATTTCCTTCCTTTCAAAGAATGATTATTAATATTCCATTCTGCATATACACAGTGCTTTTTAAAATCCATTTATCTATGGATGGGCATTTGGGTTGCTTCCACATTGGCAATTGTGAATTATGCTGCAGTGAATGTGGGTGTGCATATATCTTCTCAAGAACTTGCTTTCAATTCTTTTGGATATATGTCCAAAAGGAGGCATGATGAATCCTATGTTACTTCTATTTTTAAGTTTTTAATTTTTTGAGAAACTGCCATACTCCTCTCTGTAGTGGGTATTTTACATTGAGACCAACAGTATCTAAGGGTTCTCATTTCTCTGCATACTCACCAATAGCTGGTATTTCCTGTGTTTTATTTGTTTGTTTTTCACAGTGGCCATTCTAATGGGTGTGACATGATATCTCACTATGGTGCTGAATTCTATTTCTCTTACAATTAGTGATCAAAGCATCTTTTTATGTGCTCTTAGGTCATTTATATGTCTTCTTCAGAGAAAAGTCTATCAGAATTTTTTACCTATCTTTAAACTGGTTTAATTGGTTTTCATTGTGGTGGTTTATGAGGTCTTTATATTTTTTATATTAACATCTAATCACATGTATATCTACAAATTTTTTCTCCCATTTGTAGGTTGACTGGCGGTTTCTGTTAATGATTTTTGAGCAAAGGCATGAAGGAGGCTCAGAGTCTGGCACTTGACTGTGTGACTGTAGGCAGGGGGAAGGGCAGGGGCAGAGCTCAGACACAGGAGGCTGAGCGGGGAGTGGGGAGCCACAGGGAGGGCCGTGTGGTTAGACAGAGGGAGGCAGGGGCTGTGAGCAGGAAGTGAGTGTGGACAAGCCCAGCCTGTGTGTGTGTCATGTCTGAATGCACAGCCACTGTGAGCATCTGGAGAGTTTTGTGCAGAAGAGAGCAGGTGTGGGAGAGCAAGAGCAGAAGCAGAGAGTCAGAGAGGAGGCTGTGGACATCTAGGCAGGAGACAACCCAGCTGCAGGATGGCAATGGAGGCTGGGCAGGCCCAGCCTTCATTTGAAGTGAAGGCTCATGGGAATTGCTAATGACTTAGGAGTGGGCCGTGAGGGACAGAGAGGGTGAAGGATGTCTCCTGGATTTTTGACCTGAGCTGCTGGAATAATGGGGGTGGAAGTCACTGAGGCTGAGAATATTGGAGGAGAAAGAGATTTGGGGGAGAAAAGAAGAAGTTCAGTGTAAATAGTTTGAGTTTTATATGTCTTCGGACAAGGGAGTCAGAGTTTCAAGTATACTGTTGGATGAAAGTTTACAACCAGGAGAGGGGAAAGGGCTGGAATTCCGGATATGGGGATGATCAGCCTATTGGTGTCATGAAGCCAACATAGTGGGTGAGATCACAAAGTAAAGTTGAAGACGTGAAGAGTCTGAGCAGCTCTGCAATTTAGGGGTCAGGGAGATGTGGCCTAACCAGCAAAGGGGCTGCAGGGAGGTCGGATGGACCCGGAAAAGTGTGACGTCCTGCAGTTGATAAAGAAGGGCCTCAGTGCAGGTACCGCGTGCAACTGGGTCCTCTGCTGCTGCCACGCCCAGGCTGGGGAAGACTGACACGTGGTCACTGGGATTAGCCACGTGGGGTCCTGGTCATCTTGATAGTAGCAGTGCTGATACGTGGTGTGTGTGTGTGAATCTTCATTTGAATAACCAAGAGAATGGAGGAGCAAACTCATTGATGGTTCTGTGGACATGTTCTGGTGTTCAGGGGCAGCCTAGAAAAGCTCAGGTTAAGCAGACGGACTCGTGGGCAGCCTCCATCACTCTCTGCTGTGGCTCAAACAGGGTAAATGTGTTGTCTTAAAGTTCTGGTGGTCAGATGTCTACAGGGGGTTTCCCTGGGTAAAATGAAGGTGTTGGCCTGCAGGGCGGTGCCTTCTTGCCAGAAGGTACCTGCAGGGAGGATGCATTTTGTTCTCTTCCAGCTCCTAGAGGTGCCTGTGATCCTCAGCTCTGGTCCCTTCCTCCAGCTGCAAGGCGCCCCATGAAGCATCTGGTACTCTCTTCCTGCTCCCTCTTTTTTTTGTTAGGACTCAGTGATCACATTTGGGCACACCTAAATGTTTTGGGATAATCTTTTTATCTCAATGTCCTTAACTGGACTCGAATTGCAATGTCCCTTTTGCCTTGGAAGGTTACATATCCCCAGGATCCAGGAGGCTAGGGTGAAGACATTTTTGTAAGCCATTCCACTTCTTTTCTCAGGGATATATTTCTTGTGACTGGCTAGTCACTACCCTGGTCCCCTCAAAAACCGGGAACTTCCTAAGGGCTAGTGCCATGTCTGAATCAACAGCCTGTACTTCTCACAGACTGTGCTTTGGGCCATGATATAGTAATTCACAAATGAGTGTTTGTTTGATGGTCATTTATTGCCACTCCCTCAGTCACAGAGTGAGCTGCAGGAGGTCAGGGCCCCTGTCCATCTTGTCCACCCAGCACATCCAGCTACCAGCTTAGGGCCTCACACGCAGGGGCCTCTGAGGGACAGCAGGCTGTGGGGTCAGAGAACTGCCTGGGTTGGATCCTGGTGCAGCAGGGAGTTGGATAGGCTGCTTCCTGCCTCCGCCTTGGTGGTCATATCTATAAAATGGGGAAAATATTAATAGTTTCCTCATGGGGTTGTTGTGAGAAGTTAATGAAATTGGCAAACACCAAACGAGGTCCTCATCAAGTACTAAATATTTATAGAAACTTGGATGAAGGAGATTCCACCAGAAATGCTGAAGGACGACTGGGTGAAGGAAATCATGGCCTTCCTCCCTGGCCTCCCTGCCTTGTCCTGTCCCCATT